ATATATATATATATATTTGATTCACATATATGTATGATTTCACAGCTATAAATTCAAAAACAAGCAAAAATTAATCTATGGTGTTAGGATTCAAAATAGTTGCTGCCTTTGAGAATAAGGAAGGATACGGACTGGGAAGCTGCCAGTAATGTTTTCTTTTTCATCTTTTTTGTCCTGGGTGGTGGTCCACATGTCCATTCACTCTGGGAGAACTCATCAAGCCATACACTAATGATCTGTGTTCTTTTGTATATATGTTAGACTTCAGTGTTTTCAAAAGGTTTTAAAAACCAGTCTATAGTGTTGGAAGTCAAGACAATGGGTGCCTTTGGGAAGGAGGAAGGGGAAACTGACTGAAGCAGAAAGGGGCACGGGGAGATGCCTCTGGAGTGTCGGCAGTTTCTCTTCTCAACCACAGAAGTTCATTTGTGATAATTCACAGAACTGTGTATTTTTTTTTGCACTTTTCTATCTATGTGTTATAGTAAAAAAAAAATTTTTTTAAACAAGAAAATAAGAAAACTACTTGCACGTCTATCAGAATGAGGATTTGAAATGTGTGCGTGTTCTAGGCAAGAGTCTACTATATTTACATTTCTTAATAGTTATGTTGCTTAAAAATAATAGAAACACCATTTTGTTGTTGTTGTGGTTGTTCAATTCAGGGTGCAGTCGATCTCACTGGGGCAAGGGCAAGGACCCATTGCTGAAAAAATGATCAAAGATGCAATGAAATCAGGAAACTGGGTATTTCTTCAAAACTGCCATCTTGCTGTCTCTTGGATGTTGGCGATGGAAGAGCTCATTAAAACCTTCACAGATCCAAGTATGTGGAGCATACAGCATCTATATAAGAATACCATTTTTATGTGGCCTTTCTTGTTGAATCCAACCCTTATAATAATTCTTTATTGTAGGAACTATATTTCCCTATTTATTAAAAAGGAGAAATTTGAGCTCTAGAGGGGTTTAGTTAAGTTACAGAACCCAGACTCAAATAAAGATCTTCAGGCTCCAAATTGAGGGTGTGAGCCACTGGATCCCTGCTGTTTCATGCTTCCTTCTATGGGAGGCTATTTGAATTCAAAATGACTTTCATCTAGGCATGATAAAAAAGCAATAAAAAATGGACTAAGGACAAAACAAAAGGAAGTTAAATCTTTCACTACAAAGTGAGAGAAGTTAAGGGAAAGAGTTTAAATTAGCACCAGTTCTCTTAGTGTTTTACCACTTTTTAAGCCTCTGTCACCCACATGACAATTAACCTTCACACGTGCCCCAGAGCCACACACCCCCCACGGATGTGCCCGGCATTAGCCATGGTTGCCATCACTAACTATGATATCACCACTGTCTTTCCCGCTGTAGAAAGCAGAGTGGAGCAAAGAGAGAGGAAGTGGCGTTGGAATCGACTCATTTTTATAGGTTTAGTGTAAAAATAATTGAAGCCTTAGGGACTGTATATTGACCACTCTCCCAGGAGGCCATGGAGGAGAACCAGCAGCCTGCGACAGCCAGGGCCCTTTCTCTGGGGTCTTCCTTTGTGCCCTGCCCACAGAAGGCGTCCTGGGAAGGTGACACACAAGGTCTTGCAAATGACTTTCCTCATTGCCGCCTAGCAAGGTGAGGAGCTGCTCCTGTACAGAGGGGCCAGCCTGCACCGTTTACCAAGCCACAAGCGGGGCTTAGCGGCCTTCCCGCCAAGGCCCCTCACTCCCTGGTGCCCCCGGGCCCTGCCTGCTGCCGGCTGCTTCCATCAGGGATAAGGAGTCATTGGCGTCTCCCATCCAGAATCTCTATGCTTTCCACTCTCTGCAGTGCAGTTAAGAGACGGCCCTCTTCCTGCTGGGCCTCTGGCTTATTTCCATTCCAATAATTCAAGAAAAAATAACAAGCAGGTCTTTACCACTGCGCAGGGTTCCCTGATGATTAGGATTGTGATTAAGGAAAAAGACGCCAGGACGGCAGCCAAGAAGCTGTTCGCAGCAGTGGTGCTGTGTGGGCCCCCCGCGTGCGCACGCATCCTTCAGCTTCACGGGGGACCTTGGCAAGCGCGTAGGCTGGCTCTGCAGGGAGGCTGCGCGGGCTGTGGGAGCCAGCCGCAGTGGCTGGGCTTCAGGTGCTTAAGTGGGTAGGAAAATCCTCTCTGGCCCTTGTCACCATCGTTTATTGACTTAACCCTTTGAGTTCTAATGTTTAACTTGAACCAGAAAAAAAATAAAACACAGTCAGGTAATAAGCTGAAGAGAGAAAATGAACAAAAGAAAAAAAGAGAAAAGAAGGAAAAATAAAACTTCTGGACTTGAAATTCTAAGACCTGAGTCAGGTTCAGCCCCCACCACTTCCTGACTTGTCCACATCACGCCGCTTCCCTGGGCCTCAGTTCCCCAGCAATAAAATGACTACAGAGTGTCCTTGGTAGAAGTTCCACACTAAGGTGATTGCTAAGATTCCATTCCAGCTCTAAACTTCTGTGATGTCTACGAAACAAGATTCTTGATGCTTCTGTGATTATAAGGGGAAAAGTGTTTTTAAAAATGCTTCTCTAAACCTGGTCTTTTTCACTCTTTGGGTTTTTTGGGGTTTTTTTTTGGTTAATGAAATCATTAGCCCTAAGACTTAGATGATGTCTGACTTCTGTGCCCAATTGTTTTTTTACCATACAAGCCACTTTAGTGTCGCTGTAGAACTGCACTAGAATTAACTTTAATTTTGGCTATTTAACGTGAATTCAGATGACCAAGCCAAGAAGCATAAATTCAGCTTTAAGCTGCAGTCATTCATTGACTAAATATTTGAGAACCTACTAGACACCGTGCACTGTTCCAGATGCTTAGGGCGTGTGTGTTGGTGAACAAAACAACCACAGACACGTGCCCTCATAGAGCTGACATGCTAGTGAGGAGAGAGAGACAAGCCACAGAACAAATAAATGATGTATACAATATGACAGAATGTGATCGGTGGCTTTGGCAAAAGTTAGAAGGAGGGTATGGAGGATCAGAAAAGCTGGGATGGAACAGGGCTGAGGAGGAAGGGTGGACGGCGGTTTTAAGCGGCGTGGTCTGGGTAGACCTCTTTGAGAAGGTGACGTTTGATCCAGAAATGAAGAAAGTGAGGGAGGCTAAGCGGAGGGCGCACCAGGGAGGAGGAGCAGCTGGTGCTCAGGGCCGAGGAAGGGAGCAAGCTGAGGAGTGGAGGAGAGCGTGGTGCGGAGAAAGGCCCCTTCGGGTGAGGCCTGTGCCTTCCTGCGGCGGGAACAGTGGTTCCTCCACCTTTGCTCTGCTCTCCTGAACCCAGGGTGGAGCTTGTTCCTTCCTGGGTTTTCAGTCCACAGCTTAGAAGGAAGCGACCTGACTTAACTTCTTGATGCCACGCATGCAGTCTCTCCGTGTCCCTGTCCCCTGAGTTCCCTCAGCAACTTCCCTGCACAAGGGAGTCCCTTTTCTCTCTGGCATTTTCATGCAATTTGCCTTAAACTGAGTGGCTAAAAAAACAAGACAAACAAAACAACTAACGCCACTCGGTGAGCATAAACACACTAACTGTCCTCCTTTTGCAGTGAGACGTTTCACAGTCCCGGGGGACGGTCCTTAACGTCCCTAACGAGAAAGTTAACACGCTCCTGATCTCTCTCCTCAAACGCACCGAGCCTGCCAAGCTCGCCTGCGTGGAGAGCTTCTGTAAAGACTCCCCCATCTCCGTTTTAGAACATTCCACAACACAAAACACTTAAAACAGACAAGCAGTCTTTGAACAGAACTTACAGCCTATTTTTTCACTATCCTGTAATAATTATTTCTTACGGAAAAGTGTTACTAAGAATTGAGCATTTTCCATTTTTGTCGGTTTGTCTTTGAAACAGATGTTGTTATCAAGGACACCTTTCGACTTTTTTAAGTTCCATGCCTAGCAATGCGTTCCCTGTCACAGTTCTTCAAAACTCTGTCAAGGTACCGTACACACCTGGTGGGAACTGTGGGAAGTGACCGGCCTCGGGGCGCTCACCGAGTGGGTCCCGGGAGCCCAGGCCTGTGCAGGCCTGAGTCAGCCCGGGCGGCCGAGGTGGGGAGGTGGGAGGCAGCGTCCCTTCACCCGAGAGCGAGAGGGAGCCGATCCCCCATTCCCCTACCCACCCCCGCGGGCCCCAGTGCTGCTGGCCGTTTAGCACGCATCCCCCTTGCCCTCTGCAAGAGAACGTCAAGCGTGCAGAGGGATGAGACAGAACCCCATCCACAGTTAAGAGAATGTTCCAGCATCTGAGAGACAGACAGGCCTGCAAGTAGTATGGCTGCTGGAAGTTTCCAGTGTATGGGGAGCCTCTGCGTATGAGTGCCCACCAGGACCCGGGCTGCCTCCTCCCCGCCTGCCCCGTGCCATCCAGCAGAGCGCAGGCGAGGCCTCGCAAGCCTGCACAGCCACCCTCTCTGCCACGTGTGTGTCTAAACCCAGGTAACCAACGAGCCTCCGAAAGGTTTACGCGCAAATATCAGACGAGCATTTACTGAAATGACACCTTCATTTTTCGAAGAAAATATCCTTGGAAGAAAATGGAGACAAATAATATTCGGCATTTGTTTCTTTCATGCAATCATTCAGGTACACTCCATTTGCTTTTTAACAGAATTAAGAAGAAGCGTATTATGTTTTTAAAAATCAGTCAATAAAAAGTAAGAATTAAATGAAAACTTACAGATGGCCTTGTGAAACGCTGAGGGCCCTGTTCTGTCTGAACCCAAGTTGTCTCAGTCAGTCCCTGATCTCTGTCCGCCCCTTGCCTCGGGGTCTCCCAGCTCTG